GGTGGAGCAGCAGCAGCCTGGTTCCGGCAGCGTCCGCTTCCCCGGCGCTGACCCTCCCTCGGTGCCAGACAGAACAGCACCTGTGGGGGGTGGCATGGTGGTGGAGGAACTAGAGGGAGTGACCCTTGGCATCGTGGGCACTCAACTTAAAAAGCACCCTTGTTGTTTCACACTGTTGCGCGGGGAGGGCGTCCGCAACATGGACTGTAGGAAGCTGCCCACAACTGGTGGGATTTTTTTTGGGCAGGGGGGCGTTGCTGCAGATAGAGGTCTGACAGACAAACATGACTATCAGACTCCTTTACCAGCCCTTCCCCAACACACAGTGCACATCTCCCCCCCCCACCTCCCCAGCTGAGCGGAGACCTAGGGATCTAAATCAGCCCTCCGTGGTTGGGATGGTGGGGGGGGGTGGGTTGGTTTGCGGAGAAACTGATGTTGAGAGCGGGGAGGGGGCTGGAGAGAAAGATGTGAGGTGCCCCATGGGGTGGTCTCAGTCTCTCTTAGGGTCAACGCAGCAGCGTTGAGAGGCAGTGGGTGGGTGGGGGAAATCAAAGGGATGATAGGGGGAGGGGCAGATGAGGAGGGGGGGGGAACGTCTGCCCCATTTTGACTACATCTCCCTCGCGCAGTGCTATTTCGCGCGCGCACACACATTTATCTGTATCTATATACACATATACAGCTGTTTTACATCGAGCAGTTCAGAGACACCCCCCTCCCTCTCCCCACTCCCACCTATTTCTGTTCCCGACGCCAGATGATGACCATGCCATTGGTGTCGCTGGAGGCCAGCAAGCTTTCGTCACAGTTAAAACTCACATCCAGGACGGCGGCGCTGTGACCCTGCAGCTTGTTCACAATGGCCTTGGTGGCTCGTTCCACATCGAAGAAATACACACACATGTCCTCGCTACCTGTGACTGTACCAGGGCGGGGGGAGACAGAGAAAGAACCGTCAGCGAGGGCATTGCTATTCCTCAGGGAGCAGGGTGGGGGAGTCACACTCACTCTAAACCATCTCCCCCCCTCCACCTCCAATAACACTCCCAGGGATAGGGACATCATGGGGTTAGATACAGAGTAAAGCTCCCGCTACAGTGCCCTCCCCCCATCAAACACTCCCAGGACAGGGACAGCACGAGGTTAGATACAGAGTAAAGCTCACTCTACACTGTCCCCCCCATCAAACACTCCCAGGTACAGGTACAGCACAGGGTTAGATACAGAGTAAAGCTCACTCTACACTGTCCCCCCCATCAAACACTCCCAGGACAGGTACAGCACAGGGTTAGATACAGAGTAAAGCTCACTCTACACTGTCCACCCATCAAACCCTCCCAGGGACAGGGGGTTAGAGACGGAGTGAACAACGTACTGAATGTTCCAGCTGCCTGCCAGTACAGGGTGCAAGAGACAGACAGTTCTTACCAACACAGGCTCCCTGTCGGAATGACATGAGGGGGCAGAAGGTGCTGTGGATAGGGTTGGTGCTTTGCTGAATGTCGAAGGTCCTCTTCAGCTGCAGTGTACCTTCATTGTCCACTACCCTGAGTGACACAGACGGAGACAGAATACTGGATACAGCTCAGATGAGCCCAGATTCTCACATTCCCCCAGGACCCCCCGCCCAACACACACACACAGATGCACAAACATGCTCCCACGGAACCCGCCCCCCCTCAAAACACACACA